ACTAGAACTGAACTAGAACTGAACTAGAACTGAACTAGAACTGAACTAGAACTGAACTAACTGAATTAGAACTGAACTAGAACTGAACTAAACTAGAACTGAACTAGAGTTAAACCAGAAGAAGAAGTTAAAACGGGAACTAGTCTCGTGAAAGTTCCCTTCACTCCGCGATAATTTAAGGTTAAATATTATTGTTATTCATATCGTTTTGAAACATTTGAAATTTTATTTAAGCTTAAATGTAGCAGATAATTAACTCTGCACACTAGTTTTTTTTTTAAAGATTATTGTATTGCCTAAGATAAACTTTTGTCAAAATTTACAATCAATAAACAAAGAACTATAGAAAAAATACAGTTACAAACATAACAAAAAGAAAATTAAGTTATGTAAAATGAAAAGAGTTTTCAAAAAATGGGCATAAATACAATAAAAAGTAAATCTGTTTTTTTGTTACAAAAAATTTTAAACAAATGTAAATTTTATTTACAAAATATACTTGATTTGAATTGCGTAAAAAGTGCATAAAAAGCGAATTATAATATTTGTCATTTATTTTGTCAAATAAAGTTGAAATTATAAGTGAAGTTTGTTTTTTTCTTTTGTTAGCAAAAGTCAGATGTTTTGTTCAATATTTTCAGTCAAATAAAATCTACATACAACCATATGTGTGTGTAAGTAAGTGTCTTTATGGGAATTATCAAAAAGTCAATTTTTTATTTTGGAAAACAGATTTGTCTGTTTGCATTTGAGAAACAGTTTGACAAAGGTTTGTGACAGGTTTGAAAATTGTTGTTTTTTTTTCGTTTCAAAGTTGATCTGTGTGTGCAACCAACATGCACATGTTTGTTGTTCGAATGTAAGGTTTGACATACAGTATGGCATGAAATGAATAAAATTTAATGGTAGTTAGTGCCTTTGTGCTTATGTTATGCTTACTGCACTGCATTTTTATATAATTTGCATAAATTACTGCTAGTTTTTTTTTGAAGTTTCTTTTTTAATACCAAATAAATCTAAACAAAATTTTGAAAAATTGTTTTTATTATTTGTTTTAAACAAAATAGTTTTGTTACACAACATTAAAATGAAACTGGTTGAGAGTTTGTATACAACATATTAACCGAAATAATATTGTAAATTGAAATAATGAGAATTTTTGTAACTTTTTAGTTAACACGATTTTGAAATTGTTTTTTTTTTTGAGAGATTTGCTAAATTTTGGTGTTAAAATATAGTGCCAAATCTTGTTTATTAGGAGAAATATTTTATTTAAAAAATTATACATTTTTTATAATTGTTTTTTATTAAATTGTATTTTTTGCTTAATATAAAAATAAATTATTGGTTTATGATTAATCGCGTTTATAGGAAGTACGATAAAGTGAAATTTTAATGATTGCAAATTATTTAAATAAATTAATTAAATGAAAGTATTGCTTTTATTTAAACTCGTATTGCGGCAAATATTATTGTTAAATATGTATATGGGTTAAAATCTTATTTGTACTTTCAATTCAGGAAATTAAAATAAAATAATACAGTTATCTCTCAAAATAAAAAGTTGACTTTTACAAAGATATATTAATTTTCTCAATTAAACTAGAACTGAACTGGAACTAAAACTGAACCGAACTAAACAGAACAGATCTAGAACTGAACTAGAACTGACTAGAACGGAACTAGAACTGAACTAGAACTAGAACTGAACTAGAACTGAACTAGAACTGAACTAGAACTGAACTAGAACTGAACTAGAACTGAACTAGAACTGAACTAGAACTGAACTAGAACTGAACTAGAACTGAACTAGAACTGAACTAGAACTGAACTAGAACTGAACTAGAAACTGAACTAGAACTGAACTAGAACTGAACTAGAACTGAACTAGAACTGAACTAGAACTGAACTAGAACTGAACTAGAACTGAACTAGAACTGAACTAGAACTGAACTAGAACTGAACTAGAACTGAACTAGAACTGAACTAGAACTGAACTAGAACTGAACTAGAACTGACTAGACTGAACTAGAACTGAACTAGAACTGAACTAGAACTGAACTAGAACTGAACTAGAACTGAACTAGAACTGACTAGAACTGAACTAGAACTGAACTAGAACTGACTAACTGAACTAGAACTGAACTAGGAACTGAACTAGAACTGAACTAGAACTGAACTAGAACTGAACTAGAACTAGAACTAGACTGAACTAGAACTGAACTAGAACTGAACTAGAACTGAACTAGAACTGAACTAGAACTGAACTAGAACTGAACTGAACTAGAACTGAACTAGAACTGAACTAGAACTGAACTAGAATGACTGAACTAGAACTGAACTAGAACTGAACTAGAACTGAACTAGACACTGAACTAGAACTGAACTAGAACTGAACTAGAACTGAACTAGAACTGAACTAGAAACTGAACTAGAACTGACTACTAGAACTGAACTAGAACTGAACTAGAACTGAACTAGAACTGAACTAGAACTGAACTAGAACTGAACTAGAACTGAACTAGAACTGAACTAGAACTGAACTAGAACTGAACTAGAACTGAACTAGAACTGACACTAGAACTGAACTAGAACTGAACTAGAACTGAACTAGAACTGAACTAGAACTGAACTAGAACTGAACTAGATGAACTAGAACTGAACTAGAACTGAACTAGAACTGAACTAGAACTGAACTAGAACTAGAACTGAACTAGAACTGAACTAGAACTGAACTAGAACTGAACTAGAACTGAACTAGAACTGAACTAGAACTGAACTAGAACTGAACTAGAACTGAACTAGAACTAACTAGAACTGAACTAGAACTGAACTAGAACTGAACTAGAACTGAACTAGAACTGAACTAGAACTGAACTAGAACTGAACTAGAACGACTAGAACTGAACTAGAACTGAACTAGAACTGAACTAGAACTGAACTAGAACTGAACTAGAAACTGAACTAGAACTGAACTAGAACTGAACTACAACTGACTAAACTGAACTAGAACTGAACTAGAACTGAAACTACAACTGAATAGAACTGAACTAGAACTGAACTAGAAACTGAACTAGAACTGAACTAGAACTGAACTAGAACTGACTAGAACTGAACTAGAACTGAACTAGAACGAACCGAACTGAACTAGAACTGAACTAGAAACTGAACTAGAACTGAACTAGAACTGAACTAGAAACTGAACTAGAACTGAACGAACTAGAACTGAACTAGAACTGAACGAGAACTGAACTAGAACTGAACTAGAACTGAACTAGAACTGAACTAGAGCTAGAACTGAACTAGAGCTAGAACTGAACTGAACAAGAACGGAAGTGGAACTGAACTAGAACTGAACTGGAACTGAACTAGAACTGAACTAGGTCTGAACTAGAACTGAACTAGATCTGAACTAGGTCTGAACTAGAACTGAACTAGAACTGACTTGAACTCAACTAGAACTGAACTAGAACTAAACTGGAACTGAACTAGATTTGGACAGAACGAAGTATAACTGAACTAGAACTGAAGAAGAATTTGGTTTTTCTTCTAGAAATTATAACATAATTGAAATTGTGCTCTTTATTTTACCTCGTCTGTTATAAATACATTTATAATTAATTTTATTCTTAAGTATTGTCTATATTTCTTTTTCCATTTAATTTTATTATTACGTTTTATATTTATGAAATACTTTTACAACGCCATTGTCAAGGTTGTTATAGAAAATTTGCAATTGACGCAAGGTGTTAGAAAACTTTAAGATAATAATAATAATATTAACTATCTTATAAACAATAAAAAACAGATAAGAATTTTTTAATTGATTAATGAAGAAAAAAAGAAACCAAGTGTAAAGCAAAAAAGCTAAGGCAATTGTTAAAAATAATAAAATTGGCTACAAACTAAACTATTGGCAAATTACACAGAAAAACAAAAGTTTAGATTTTGGAAATATAGATATTATATTAAAATCTACTAGAATTAAAATGAGCGAATTCTTGAAATTTTTGCTTAATAGCAGACTTTTAGATTTGTAAAATTTTGAATTTTACTGTTGTTCAGTGTTGATCAACGTTAGACAATGAACTAAAGTGAATATTAATTTAGCTAATTGTTCTTCAATGACCATTTCACAATGATAATTTAATTGTTTTAAAATCATATGTGGAATCGCATATAGATTTTAAATATAGAAAAAAACACTTTAAATTTGTTATCGAAAGATCAATATTTATTACAGTAAAACACGGCACTTCAATTTTGTTTATTTGTATTTGTTAAATAATGAGTTTGTTAAAAAGTTAAAATTATTAGTGAATGTATAGGAAATTTTATAATTTATAAAAAAAAAGAAAAATAAATGCGTTTTTATTTTAAAATTGATTTTTTCTAAAAGAGAATATTTCACTCTGTGGTGGGGAGTCAGAAATGTGGAAGGAAAATCTTTATTTTTGTGGTCACTTAAAGTTTAAAGTGCCAAATTTGAAATTCTAACCAAACACAACCTTGTACTTTTTTCTTTTACAATATTTAAAAGAAATCATCCATTACATGAAATGTCAAGCCATAAATCAATTGCAATCTCAAAAAAATAAAAATAATAAAAAAGGTGCGATAAATTGTCTACACGTGTGTGGTCTTCCTAAAAACCTACATCTTTTGCGCAGAAACTTAGAAAAATATAATCCAAAGAAAACCTCTAATAAACACGCAATGTTAAAACTTATATATTAATCCATAAGATATAACAGTTTGCTTAAACAAATGTAATAACATTAAATATAATTATGTTTTAAATTATAATAATGAAATACTTTCCCATAAACCTGTAAACCAAGGAGTGTCTTAAACAAAAATAAACACTAGATCGAAGACAAAACCCATAAAACAACTGATGGTCATAAACACCCTCATTAGTTGAAAACCAAAAATAATAATAAATGATTATTATTTGGCTAAACTAAATAATAGTTGTTAATTTTTGCACCACTACTTACCCAATCGTTAAAGCCCAATTTGGCCAATTCCTGCTGTGATGTTTGAGAATCGACTTTCAAATGTAGATTATCGGCACCTGTATATAGCAGCAATGAAAAAAAAATATTGATTATTATTATTTAATAAATTTTGGAAAACAATGTTAAGTTTTAAACGAAATTTTGTTTTTAAAATCTTACCTTGATTTAAAACTTGCTGTAGAAATATTCGCAACTCCAGTGTTTCTGTTACAAGTGCTCGACATACGGCTTTATAGTGCTCTTCAGGTACAGTGGGTTTTATGTGATTTTTGCAGGCCTAGAAAAATAGTAAAGAAAAACAAAATTTAATGAAAAATTAACAATCAGTCTGAAGACAAGTTATGTCGGTTACTTAAATAGAACGGAACTAAAACAGAACTAGAACAGAACTACGACAGAACTAGAACATAACTAGAACAGAACTAGAACAGAACTAGAACAGAACTAGAACAGAACTAGAACAGAACTAGAACAGAACTAGAACAGAACTAGAACAGAACTAGAACAGAACTAGAACAGAACTAGAACAGAACTAGAACAGAACTAGAACAGAACTAGAACAGAACAGAACTAGAACAGAACTAGAACAGAACTAGAACAGAACTAGAACAGAACTAGAACTGAACTAGAAGAGAACTAGAACGGAACTAGAACGGAACTAGAACAGAACTAGAACAGAACTAGAACAGAACTAGAACAGAACTAGAACAGAACTAGAACAGAACTAGAACAGAACTAGAAAAGAACTAGAACAGAACTAGAAGAGAACTAAAACAGAACTAGAACAGAACTAGAACAGAACTAGAACAGAACTAGAACAGAACTAGAACAGAACTAGAACAGAAATAGAACAGAACTAGAACATAACTAGAACATAACTAGAACAGAACTAGAACAGAACTAGAACAGAACTAGAACAGAACTAAAACAGAACTAGAACAGAACTAGAACAGAACTAGAACAGAACTAGAACAGAACAGAACTAGAACAGAACTAGAACAGAACTAGAACAGAACTAGAACAGAACTAGAACAGAACTAGAACAGAAATAGAACAGAACTAGAACATAACTAGAACATAACTAGAACAGAACTAGAACAGAACTACGACAGAACTAGAACATAACTAGAACAGAACTAGAACAGAACTAGAACAGAACTAGAACAGAACTAGAACAGAACTAGAACAGAACTAGAACAGAACTAGAACAGAACTAGAACAGAACTAGAACAGAACTAGAACAGAACTAGAACAGAACTAGAACAGAACTAGAACAGAACTAGAACAGAACTAGAACAGAACTAGAACAGAACTAGAACAGAACAGAACTAGAACAGAACTAGAACAGAAGTAGAACAGAACTAGAACAGAACTAGAACATAACTAGAACAGAACTAGAACTGAACTAGAAGAGAACTAGAACGGAACTAGAACAGAACTAGAACAGAACTAGAACAGAACTAGAACAGAACTAGAAAAGAACTAGAACAGAACTAGAAGAGAACTAAAACAGAACTAGAACAGAACTAGAACAGAACTAGAACAGAAATAGAACAGAACTAGAACATAACTAGAACATAACTAGAACAGAACTAGAACAGAACTAGAACAGAACTAGAACAGAACTAAAACAGAACTAGAACAGAACTAGAACAGAACTAGAACAGAACAGAACTAGAACAGAACTAGAAGAGAACTAGAACGGAACTAGAACAGAATTAGAACAGAACTAGAACAGAACTAGAACAGAACTAGAACAGAACTAGAACAGAACTAGAGCAGAACTAGAACAGAACTAGAACAGAACTAGAACAGAACTAGAACAGAACTAGAACAGAACTAGAACAGAACTAGAACAGAACTAGAACAGAACTAGAACAGAACTAGAACAGAACTTGAACAGAACTAGAACAGAGCTAGAACAGAACTAGAACAAAACTAGAACAGAACTAGAACAGAACTAGAACAGAACTAGAACAGAACTAGAACAGAACTAGAACAGAACTAGAACAGAACTAGAACTAGAAAAAAACTAGAACAGAACTAAAACTAGAACAGAACTAGAATTAGAACTAGAACTGGAACAGAACTAGAACAGAACAGAACTAGAACAGAACTAGAACAGAACTAGAACAGAACTAGATCAATAGAACAGAACTAGAACAGAACTAGAACAGAACTAGAACAGAACTAGACAGAACTAGAACAGAACTAGAACAGAACTAGAACTAGAACAGAACTAGAACAGAACTAGAACTAGAACAGAACTAGAACAGAACTAGAACAGAACTAGAACAGAACTAGAACAGAACTAGAACAGAACTAGAACAGAACTAGAACAGAACTAGAACTGAACTAGAACAGAACTAGAACAGAACTAGAACAGAACTAGAACTGAACTAGAACAGAACTAGAACAGAACTAGAACAGAACTAGAACTGAACTAGAACATAACTAGAACAGAACTATAAGAGAACTAGAACAGAACTAGAACAGAAATAGAACAGAACTAGAACTGAACTAGAACTGAACTAGAACAGAACTAGAACAGAACTAGAACAGAACTAGAACAGAAATAGAACAGAACTAGAACTGAACTAGAACTGAACTAGAACTGACCTAGAACTAGAACTGAACTAGAACTGAACTAGAACTGAACTAGAACTGAACTAGAAATGAACTAGAACTGAACTAGAACTAAACTAGAACTGAACTAGAACTGAACTAGAACTAAACTAGAACTGAACTAGAACTAAACTAGAACTGAACTAGAACTAAACTAGAACTGAACTGATGTCAATGAAAATGTCACTGTAGAAGTTTACTCTCTTAAATATTACTTTGTTCTAAAGAAAACTAAAAAATTCTATACTTTCTATAATTGTAAAATTCCATACATTCTTCCGAGAAACCCCCTTGAAAGAAATTTAATATTTCGTATTAAAATTTTTCTGGATTCTCCCCGTTTAGAACAAAAAAACTAAGAAACCAAAAGCAATTTAAAACAATTTAAAACTAGCTGCCGCTATAAATTATAATGGAATTAAATTTACAGTAATAATCATTCTTGCATTAAAATTACGTATTTAAACAAATAAAACTGTTTGAAAAATGCAGTAGAAATCAGGTATCAGGTGTATCAAAAGCAAATAGACAATAAAATGCTGTAAAAATATGAATGGTAATTTTACACTTATTAAGTAATTTCATTTTGTTTATATAAAACGTGGTGGTGGAGGATAGTAGAAGAAGCTGTAGAAACTACATATAACACTGTAAACCAGTGAACGAATTCCTAGCATCAGCAGCATCATATTATTATCGCCACCAACCAGTCTGTCTGTCTGTCAGTCACTCAACCAACCATCAGTTATAACTTTATCATCGTTCATAATCGAGAGCAGCTTGAACGCTCGATTTCTCTCACTCTTAAAGTGATCATAATTCAAATAATATTGCATTACTTTTTCTTAAAATGTTTATAGTAAATGTATATCAATTACCTCAAGGATGAGGGTGATAATAAAGAGGAGGAGGTGGTTTGGTCTATAGGTTTTTCGGTTTATGACTTTCTCGCTTATAAAGTGGAAAACCACAAATAATATAGAAAAATGTCAGTAATATAGTAAAAATATCACTTGAGTGTGAAAAATATTACGTCTTCAGATGTGAACATTTAAATTAAATAAATTTTTATACATGTTACTAATACTATGTAAATATTAACTAACTATTACAATTTATTAATAATAAAGTGTAACGAAATGTTGTTTAGTCTCTATTTTCCAGCCAACCAACCCATTGATTCATCCAACCATCTATTTAGTTTTGCATGTAATATGCAAATGTGCATAATTTATCTATCATGTCTTCATGTTTCAATTTCTTTTTCTGTTTTGCTCTTCTTCTGTCTGTCATACGTTTGGGTTTTCGATGCAATTATTTAATCACAAGTGTAATTTTTCAATTTTCATTTATTAATACAGACAAACAAGTGCAGACATATGGACGTCAGTAAGGACGGACAGATGGTCTAAGCATACAAAGTACATATTTGTTTGTGGACATACGGACGAGCTGATGAGCAGCTAGTTAGGCACACATGTTAGAAATAATCATTGAATGTGTTTTGAATAACATGCTACAAGAAATCTGAGCGTTCAGAAACGTAGAGGTCAACGGTTTGAATCCCTGGATTAATATATCGAACTTAGGAATACAAAATAGAACAATTTATAGACCAAGATCAATCCATGAACTCTATTGATAAATACAGAGACAGATCTAACGATCAATAGAATATATACACTGGTCTATAAATAGACCAATCTATAGACAAGTCTATAGATCAATATATAGACTGGTCTATAGATCAATCTATAGACTGGTCCATAGACCAATCTATAGCCTGGTCTCTAGATCAATTTATAGACTGCTGTATAGATCAATCTATAGATTGGTCCATGTCTATAGATCAATCTATTGACATGGATCAATCTATAGACCAGTCAATAGATTGATCTATAGGGTCTATAGATCAATCTATATACACTGGTCTATAAATAGACCAATCTATAGACAAATCTATAGATCAATATATAGACTGGTCTATAGATCAATCTATAGACTAGTCTCTAGATCAATCCATAGAATGGTCCATAGATCAATCTATAGCCTGGTCTCTAGATCAATTTATAGACTGCTATATAGATCAATCTATATACTAATCAATGGATCAATCTATAGATTGGTCTATGGATCAATCTATAGATTGGTCTATGGATCAATCTATAGGCTTGTCTATAGATCAATCTATTGACAGTTCTATAGATCAATCTATAGGGTATATAGATCAATCCATTGACTGGTCTATAGATAAATCTATAGTCTAGTCTATAGATCAATCTATAGACTGGTCTACAGATAAATCTATAGACTGGTCTATAGATCAATCTATAGACATGTCTATAGATCAATCTATAGATCAATCTATAGACTGCTCTATGGATCAATTTATAGACTGCTCTATGGATCAATCTATAGACTGGTCTATGGATCAATATATAGACTGGTCTATAGATTAATCTATAGACTGGTCTATAGGTCAATCATTAGACTGGTTTACAGATCAATCATTAGACTGGTCTATAGATCAATCAATGGACTCGTCTATAGATCAATCTAAAGACTGGCCTATAGATCAATTTATAGATTGGTCTATAGATCAATCTATAGACTGGTCTATAGATCAATCTATAGACTGGTCTACAGATCGATCTATAGAACGGTCTATAGATCAAGCTGTAGACTGGTCTATAGACCAATCTATAGACCGGTCTATAGATCAATCTGAAGACTGGTCTTTAGATCAATCTATAGACTGATCTATAGATCAATCTATAGACTGATCTATAGATCAATCTATACTGGTCTATAGATCAATCTATACTGGTCTATAGATCAATCTATACACTGGTCTATAGATCAATCTATAGACTGGTCTATAGATCAATCTATAGACTGGTCTATAGATCTATCTATACTGGTCTATAGATCAATCTATAGACTGGTCTATAGATCAATCTATAGACTGTTCTATAGATCAATCTATAGACTGGTCAATAGATCAATATATAGACTGGTCAAGAGATCAATCTATAGACTGATCTATAGACTTGCCAATGGATCATTCTATAGACTGGTCTATAGATCAATCTGTAGATCATTCTATAGACTGGTCAAAATCAATCTGTAGATCCGTTGATCAATATATAGAATGGTCCACAGATCAATATAAAGATTGGACTACAGATCAATGTATAAACTGCTCTATAGCTCCATCTGTAGACTAATTTACAGAGTAACGTATAGATTTATAGCTTATAGATCATTCTATTAACTATTCTACTTTATCACTATCTCCAAGCTAAGATCTTGTCCTCTCAACTTTGACCAATTGTAGAGTGAGTATTATTTGCAATTTTTTTTGAGTTTTTTTTTCTAAATAATGACATTTAAAATTACCATTGAAAAGTAAAATAATACAACTACAAAAGAAAGAAACAAAAAACCCAATAATAGTAGATAAAGTGTAGTCAAACGTGTCGTTAAAATTAACACCTTTAAAAATGACACTTTGAACATGATGTTTGAACAGGCTAAATGATACTGCACCTCCTTCAATCATCATTATCATCCTCTAACTTACATAATATTTGCAATAAATGTTCAAATGTTTAAATTTTCAAATAAATACAAATAATAAATATGACTCAATGTCAAGTTCAAATATTTAAACATAAATGTAAAAATTATCATGGAATTACGTTTTTGCGATTTTTTTTCGGAAAAATAAATTAGTTTGCAAATAAAGGGGGACAACGGTCAGTGACTATAATTCTGTACAATTCAGTTTAAATTTAAATTTATAATGTTTAAATTAAATGATTGTAAACAAATGTTTGTGGGCTTGTGTTCAGGTTAGCTTAAACAGTTGGTTAAATAATTATAGGTACAAATGTTAAAACTTACCTCTAACACATAATCAAATTCTTTGGTTTCATCATGTTCATCGTCCCAACGCTTGTAGCCCTCGTCAATGCCTTCATCAATACAGTCATCATCTGGTTCTGTAATAATAAAGAAATATTTTTTGTAAAAATTTAAAATTTAAATAAACAAATTTACTTGACACTTAATTTTAATTATTTAAATTATACAATTTAATTACTTTGCCCCTTAGATTTCTCAATTGTATGAAATAAAATATTAAGCAAAAATTGTGGGTCTTAAATTCAATGAACTTTGAACTCTTAGTTATGAAATTTTTAAAAATAAACACAAAGACAAAATTATAAAAGAGCAACAGTTTTAGTTTGCTATAGGCCGGACTATAGATCAATCTATAGATTAAACTATAGAATGAACAATCTATAAACTAGACCAATCTATAGATCAATCTATAGACTGGTCTATAGATCAATCTATGGACTGTCCTACAGATCAATCTATAGACTGGTCTATAAATCAATCTATAGACTGGCCCATAGATCAATCTATAGACTGGCCTAAAGATCAATATATAGACTGGTCTATAGACCAATTTATAGACTGGCTTATACATCAATCTTTAGACTGTTCTATACATTAATCTATAGATCAATCTATGGACTGGTCTATAGATCAACCTATTGACTGGCCTATAGATCAATCTATATACTGGTCTATAGACTGGTCTATAGATCAATCTATAGACTGGTCTATAGATCAACCTTAAGACTGGCCTGTAGATAAATCTATAGACTGGTTTATAGATCAATCTATAGACTGGTTTAGAGATCAACCTATGGACTGGTCTATAGATCAATCTATAGACTGGTCTGTAAATCAATCTATAGACTGATCTATATATCAATCTATAGACTGGTCTAAAAATCAATCTATAGTCTGGTTTATAGATCAATCTATAGTCTGGTTTATAGATCAATCTATAGACTGGTCTATAGATCAATCCATAGACTGGTCTATAGATCAATCTATAGACTGGTCTATAGATCGATCTATAGACTGGTCTACAGATCAATCTATAGACTGGTTTACAGATCATTCTATAGACTGGTCTACAGATCAATCTATAGACTGGTCTACAGATCAATCTATAGACTGGTCTATAGATAAATCTGTAGACTGGTCTATAGATCAATCTATAGACTGGTCTATAGATCAACCTTAAGACTGGCCTGTAGATAAATCTATAGACTGGTTTATAGATCAATATATAAACTTATTTATAGATCAATCTATAGACTGATCTATAGATCAATCTATAGACTTGTCTATAGATCATTCTATAGACTGGTCTATAGATCAATCTATAGACTGGTCTATAGATCAACCTTAAGACTGGCCTGTAGATAAATCTATAGGCTGGTTTATAGATCAATCTATAGACTGGTCTATAGATCAATCTATAAACTGGTCTATAGATCAATCTATAAACTGGTCTATAGATCATTCTATAGACTGGTCTATAGATCAATTTATAAACTGGTCTATAGATCAATCTATAGACTGGTCTATAGATCAATCTATAGACTGGTCTATAGATCAATCTATAGACTGGTCTATATATCAATCTATAGACTGGCCTATAGATCAATCTATAAACTGGTCTATAGATCAATCTATAGTACCGTCTATACATCAATCAGTAGTCTGGTCTATAGATCAATATTTAGATCTATAAATCAATTTATATACTGGTTTATAGATCAATCTATAGACTGGCTTATAAATCAATCTATAGACTGCCCTATAGATCAATCTATAGACTGGTATATAGATCAATCTATAAATTGGTCTATAGTTCAATCTATAGTGCGGTCTATACATCAATCTGTAGTCTGATCTATAGATCAATCTTTAGACTGATCTCTAGATCAATCTATAGACTGGTCCGTAGATCAATCTATAGACTGGTCTATGGATCAATCTACAAACTGGCGTATAGATCAATCTACAAAATGGACTATAGATCAATCTGTTCTATAGATGAATCTAAAGACTGGTCTATAGATCAATTCTATTGTATTGTTCTGATTTCCTAAACTTACCATCTTCTGTCATGTGGGTAATAAGTTCTTCCAATTCTTGGGACATTTGACACTGTTCATCTTCGTGCAGATTATAATCCAAGGCATTGTAAACAATAACAGCAACATTACGTAAAATCTGCAATAAAACGAAAAAAATTAGATTTAAAATAAAAATCATAAAATTTTTAAAATAATTTAAAAAAAAAATATTTTACTTTTTGCATCATAACTCCTTTAACTCACTTGTTAAACTCTAAGTTATTGTTCTCCCTAATTAAGTGATATTTTCCTTAAAATCTCTTTCCCAAAGAAGTTGTTATAAATAGTATAATAAGACCTTCTTCACATGCTAAACGTAGAGTTAGTGGGAAAATTGTCTGTTGTCAAGTATAAAAGAATTTCTAGCGCTTCCATGGATTTGGTGAAGATCAAAACAGTAATAATGGTTTTAAAACATGCAATTTTCAATTTTTCTTTTAATTATAAGGAAATTCTTTTTAAGAGAAAAGCATTTACAATGCGTAAACTATGGGTAGAATATGAGAAACTATTTTAAATTGTTAGTGTTTCCAGGGTTTGACTCAATATTTTTATAGAAAATATAAAAAATATTTTCTCAGAAATTAACAAGATTTAATGGGAATATTAAACGTAGGTTATTTATATAAACGAGGTCTTTTGCAATCTTTTAAAAGCAACCGGAATGAAAGCCGCTACAATGATTACAGAAATAGTGTCCTGGGGATTCCATTCTATAGTGTAGGGGAGAGGGTACAGTGGGAAGGTAAATAATACAAAATAAGAATTAGAATTTTAATTAGATTGTGAAGAAACAAGGAGTAAAATAGTATGAGCAATCTTTGAAAACTTATCTTTCATAAAAATTCAGTCTTTCCGAAACATTTTCACTAGAACTACTTCAGTTTTTTTTTTTTGTTTACATCATAAATATGTCTCATATTCTGACTAAATATTTTTATATTGTAATTGTTACAAAAAAAAAAAAAAAAAAAAAAAAAAAAACACAACATTATCATGTTTTTCTGGTGACCTTTAAAAATTCCATTTACATGTTTTATAATAAATCTTGTTTTTTTTCTTACTTTTTTTCTTCATCACCATCAAAATAAAAATAAACTTTTAAAACATATAGAAAAAAAAAAATGCAAAAACAATGGCCTACAAAAAAAAAGTAACAAAAATATAAATAAAATTATGATTATCTCATAAATGAAAAATAATGAAATAAGAAGCTGAATAAAAAAAAGCAACGAGAAAAAATTACATTTCAAACTACTATATTATTCACTCAGAATCTACTTTATTTGCTGTTGTTGTTGTGGTGGTGCATGATGGTACCACCACTAACCGTTCACTTGCTCGTA